TTATTGAATGATGTAGAAAGCATCAAGAGAAGATCAAAGGAATACACAGAGTTACTGTACCAAAAGAAATGGTTAATGTTTAGCTGTATCAAGAGGTAGCTTATGATCAAGAGCCAATGATACTGAAGGAGGAAGTCCAAGGTGCATTGAAGGAACTGGCAAAGAACAAGGCACTAGCAATTGATGGAATCAAAATTGAAATCTTTCAAGAAAGTAAGGTAGCACAAGAGGCACTCACTCATCTCTGCCAAGAAATTTGGAAGACAACTATCTGGCCGACTGATTGGAAGTGGTCTGTATTTGTGCCATTCCAAAGAGGTGACTCAATAGAATGTGGAAATCATCAGACAATCTCTTTGATATCCCATGCAAGTAAAGTTTTACTGAAGGTAATGCAGAAGTGGCTGCAAGCACATATTGACAAAGAACTTCAGCAGTTCAAGCCGGATTCAGAAAAGGCTATGGAATGAGGGATATCATTGCTGACATCCGATGGATCTTGGCTGAAAGCAAAGAATATCAGAAAGATGTTTACTTTTGCTTTATTGACTACACAAAGGCTTTCGATTGTGTGGATCACGACAAGGTATGGACAACACTGCAAAGTATGAGTATTCCGGAACACTTAATTGTTTTCATGAGGAATCTGTACCTGGACCAAGAGACAGTTGTTTGAACAGAACATGGGAACACTGGATGGTTTAAAATTAAGAAAGGTGTATGACAGGGTTGTATTCTTTCACCATACTTATTCAACCTGTATGCTGAGCAAATAATCTCAGAAGCTGGGTTCTATGAAGAAAACTGTGGCATCAGGATTGGAGGAAGACTCATGAACAACCTGCGATATGCAGATGACACAACCTTGCTTGCTAAAAGTGAAGAGGACTTAAAACATTTACTGATGAAGGTCAAAGAGTACAGCCTTCGGTATGGATTACATCTCAATGTACAGAAAACAAAAATCCTCACCACTGGACCAATAAACAACATTCTTATCAATGGAGAAAAGACTAAAGTTGTCAAGGACTTCATTCTTCTTGGATCACCTACCAACACTCACGGAAGCAGCAGTCAAGAAGTCAAATGTTGTATTGCATTAGGCAAATCTGCTGCACAAGACCTTTTTAAAGTGTTGAAAAGCAAAGATGTCAGCTTGAAGACTAAGGTGCGCCTGACCCAAGCCATGGTATTTCCAATGACCTCATATGCATGCGAAAGCTGGACAGTGAATAAGGAAGACCATAGAAGAATTGATGCCTTTGAGTTATGGTGCTTGAGGAGACTATTGAAAGTGCCATGGACTGCCAAAAGAACCAATAGATATGTTTTGGAAGAAGTGCAGTCAGAGTGTTCCTTGGAGGCCAGGATGGCCAAACTTCTACTCTCATACTTCGGACATATTGTCAGGAGAGACCAGTCGTTGGAGAAGGATATCATGTTTGGTAAGGTGGAGGATCAGACAAAAAGAGGAAGACCTCCAAGGAGATGGACTGGCCAAGTGGCAGCATCGATGGACTCAAGTGTGGCAATAGTAGTGTGGTTGGCCCAGGATCGGGCAGTGTTTTGTTCTGCTGGGCATAAGGTTGCTATGAGTTGGTACCGATTTGATGGCACCTAACAACAACAACAATCTCCTGTAACTTAAAGCTTTCCTGCTTTTTAAGTTGACTTCTTTTTAAGTTCTAGCAAAAACCCACAAATAATATTTCTTTCCCTGATATGATCAACTATGAAATCTCAAAGAGGGTGCTTGAGAATCTATATGGTTGGGCTAAATGAGGTTGGTAGCAAGGAGAAAATAATCAGAGAGAGCAAAAATTTGGCAAGGGCAGTGTAGTTTGAGTGAAAGACTGAGAGAGCTGGACCTGACAGGAGGTTCTAGTTGGGTACATATTGAAATATGGGGTTAGTGCAAAGGTACACAGTGTAGCTGTAGGAGTAGGTTGTTAGAAAATAGTAGAGGTGATGGAGTACAAGAGGGTAAACGACTGTGAGGCTGTTCTTGAGGATGCTGAAGTCACTGGAGATAATCAAAGGAGAAGGGTTAGAAAGGATGATTAAAATAAGCCAGGTGCCAAGTTCTTAGTGAGCAAAGGAGAATGGCCTAATCCAGGTCACCACTAATCACTGAGTGGTAAGGTATGATCAGAAGCTGGGTTTGCTGATGACCAGGGTTCTTTACAACACCTTCTAGTGAACAAAACAGTCATCTTGGCCAAGTGTCAGGAAACTTCCTACCTAGTGATCAGGCTGCCTTTAACATGACTCAGCATAGAAGAGTAATTGAAAACTTATTGCTACAAAATCACAGACACCTGGGGATATTCATCAGCTACATGCTCAAATTTATGATATAAGTAATTCTCAAAGTGAACACTGAGTGGCTACTCATTTGCTACCCATGCTAGAGAGTAAGATCCCCTAAGAACTTGATTGAACCTCAGCATAGTGATCCTGCTTGGTCACCTTAGAGCAGGTGGTGGGCCGGCAACGTCTGGCGCATGGGGTCCACAGCTGATCTCCTCCCTCCCTGCCTTCCTCGGATGGCGGCTGTTTATGCTGGACGTGTGGCCAGAGACGGGTAAGGATCACGTGGAACCTCGGCTACTTAAGACAGAGACATTGCCATGCTGCAATGAGTCTCAATGACTGGTAAGACTGAGGAATTCGCACTGACCACCTAAGACAGGCAGTGTCCCTTAAACAATCAATAAATAAGGAGGATTCAGATGCAGACAGTACAGACCCGGTCAGGAGGCCAAGCCCCTGTGGGCCCAAGCATTGTTAACCGTCCAAACCATAGGCTCTGAGGATCAGACTCTAGCCACCTAGTAGACATAGCAAACTGTCCCTCATCTGATTATTCAGTAATGCTTGTTAGTAATCTCATACATGAGCCCTGGATATCCACAGACAAATGTAAAAACCTTCCCTAAAAGCCGAGACTGTAAATTCCAAAAAGCCAAGTCCCCCACCATCCAAAAAAAAAAAAAAAATCTAAAGAGGATAGAGAGAAACACTGTAAACTGATGATATATGGCAGGGATAATAATCAATGTAATGAAACAAGCTATATGAATGGTTGAACGTGAAGCTGATGATGTGCCCTGTAAACTTTCACTCAATGCAAAATAAAAACATTTAATAAAAAAAAAAATCACAGACACCCTTGCTACCTTCAAAAAATGGACAGGTATAATGTTGTAATGGAAAACAAAAGTCCTTAGTGCAACTTCCCTGGCTTTTTCTCACCAACGCACTTTTCAATGTGTTTACAACTTCTTCCTAGTGTTGTTGTTGTTGTTAAGTGCATTCGAGTTAGTTCTGACTTATAGTGATCCTGTTATCTGGTAGGTTTGACCCACCAACCTTAGAGTTAGCAGTTTAGTGCTTATCCTACATCATCATACCACGAATTCTAATGTTGTTGTTGTTGTTAAGTGCCATTGAGTCGGTTCTGACTCATAAGACCCTGTGTATAGGGTTTCCAAGGAATGGCTGGTGAGCTTGAACCGTCGACCTTGCAGTCTAGCTCATTAACCCGCAGCGCCACACCAGGAATCAAGATTATCCCTTTGGGATCTCAAAAATCAGTAGCCATAATCTTCTGAGCTGACCTCTCTGCACTGAATTGAACTGGTCCAGCAGATCCCCTTGGAAGTCATAGTTTTGATTCAACCGATTTGATTAAAGCACCATAATGAAATTAAGACAAGTGTATTACTAAACAAACTTGTCTGTAGCCATCCACTGATCACAGAGACATATTTAAACATTTTGTTTAGATTAACTCTGTGCATGTATAAACTGAGACCCTAACTAGCAGTACTTTTTGAGTTACATTTATAAATCTTTCAGATCATCACTCCCTAAGTGGAGTCACTTAAATCCAGTTTTCTTTTACAGTGTCTTCTTTCTCTGTAATCAAGTATGTACTCAAAACATATTCTATCCTCATTATACTAAAGGTTGTAGGTCAGAAAAGTTGTAAAATATCTAAGAATTTAGTCTTAAGCTGCAAAGGAAATCTCCAATCAAAATATCAATATGGAATCTATAAAAATGTTTAATATTATTTGTTCCCTGGAAAAATATTTCTGTTAGTCTGGAAAAATGCTAGAAACAAAGGAAACAGGTCTTTTTTGTTCTAGTCACTAAGGGCCAAGGCCAGGAACCCACAAAGGAACATAAATATGATACACCATATTTGCTTAGACAATACCAAGTTTAAATATCTTATCTCATTATCTCAAAAAAATCCAGAATGTAAAATTTCTAATATTTAAAAAAAAGTATTTTGATATCTAAATTACATCTAGGTCTGTCTCTTGCTCTTGGAAGTGTCACAAAAATCCTTTACCATCTATACAAGCCCAGTTTTAAGTTGAGAAGAATTAATAGATGAAATTACGAATTACAGATTTATCACATTTAAGGTTAATTTTAATCACCTTATTCTTCTAGTTTCAAAACAAAAACTTTGTAAAATGGAGGAAATGCTGTATCTAAATGCAGTATTCCAGATTCTTGTTACTGATGCAATACTCCCAAAATGCCTTTAAAATGGAATCTACTGGTACTGGAGTATGCATCTGATATTATTCCTTCTCAATCCATTTTCTAAAGTATTAATGTAGTCTAAGCAAAATAAATAAAATTGCTACATGCAACCTCTCCCTCCCCTTATGGTGAAGGAATAGATATTTCCCCATTGGACTATATTAGCAATAGGTATTCTTCCCTGAGTTAAATCAGTTCTCACTCCAGAAAACAAACAAAATCCAACAGATAATATAATCCTTCTTCAGATCCCTTATAGAACATTTAATCTACCAACCATTATTATTATAAGGATGATATTTAATCTTTGTTTGAAACCTCTAAAAGGTTTCCTGAGTTGATTTTACCTGAATAACATTATTAATAATAGATAAAAATATTCCTATACAGTTAAAAATGAAATTGCTAAAACATATCAACTGTTATTGGCTTAATACCTTAGGAGTCTTCTTACTCTGTCTTTTCCCAAAAATGCAATCAAGATCCGTTTTGCTCCGAGATGATAGATCTTTCCCTAAAAAAAAAATAACATAATGCTTTTCAGTAAAAACTTTCTAAATAAAAAACTCTTTATTTTATTCTAAAAATAAAGAATACAAATATAAAATTATGAAACTCTGGAAAGGAAAATGGCTCTTGGACAATAAGTATCTTGTAAATTACTGACTTTCAGCCAATCCCTCTTTTACATATTGTTGGTGGAAGTGGTGCGTGCTGGTGAACTGATTCTGATTCATAGCAAACCCATGTGACAGTATAGAACTGTTTCATACGATTTTCTAGGCTGTAATCTTTTTGGAAGTAGATAACCAGGCCTTTCTCTCTTTGAGCTGCAGGGTGAGTTTCAACTATCAGCTTTTTGGTTAGAAACCAAGTACTTAAGCATTTTCATCCCCAGAGCCCCTTCACAATTTAGTAAATCATGTATTACTCTTAATAAATAAAACTAAATTTCAAAATCAAATAAATGTTTTAGAAATATTGACATGTTTTCATAATTGTAGAAACAACTTGTAGACTGAGAAGTAAGTTTAAGTTCTAAAGCTAGCTATACTATCGGTGTGCCTTCAAGTTATGATTTCTGGGTCTCTGGGTTCCCCATTTATATATTCACTTCAAAGAGATACGGGCTACTTACTTTATAAAATACATATAATAAATTCACTGTGTTTATAAAATACATATAATAAATGCACTGTGGGCTAATGCATCATACTGCAAAGCCGTTTGAACTGCAAGGTTGGTGCTCAAGCTCACCAGCTGTTCCTTGGAAACCATATACAGGGTCGCTATGGGTCGGAATCGTCTCGACAGCACTTAACAACAACAACATTAGATGCACAGCTAAAACAACAGCAAGTATGTCTATGTGAATAAGAATATATCAGATCTGACTCGTGTTATTGTTGTTAATTGTCATTGAATCACTTCCAACTCATAACGACTCTATGTAGAGTTTCTAAGGAGCAGCTGATGGGTTTGAACAGCCAACCCAGTAGTTAGCAGTCCAGGGCTTATGCTGTAACACCATGCTGCTCATTCATTGAATGAGTGAAGACTTTAAAATAACAATGCAAATAACAAATAAAATGTACTGTTTTAAAGGATGAAGGAATTTCAAATCTTTCTTTTAAAAATGTTTGATACTGTTATAGCTATATCATCTCAAAACAAAATAAGTAATGAGAGCAGGAAATTTAATGGCTTCCAATAAAAATAATGTCCAAAGGATCTATGATTTCCTATTAAAACAAGACAAAAACTACCTGAATTCTTTAACCTTAATTTCAAACCCACAAACCAACTAATTTCAAGTTTACTTCTTTGGAATTTTTCCTTCTACCAAAAACACTTTGAGAGCAGTCAGCCAAATCTATTCTTATTTGTCAACTTCACTGTAAAAAGCTCTTAAAATGTAACTAAAACATGCAAAGTCTTCGGCTCTGGGGGAGTGAGGCACCAAGTCAGAGTTGTTAGCCTAAGTTCCACCTGTCACTGACTCACTTGTGTTCTTGGTTTCCTGAAGCTAACTGGCTTGACAAAAGTAGCATCATGACCCTGAAGGTTCTAGTTCACTGACTGTCACTGGGGCATTCAAATATGATATTACTCAGGGACTCCATGAAATTAAAAAACAAAACACCCTTGGATTTCATTCTAGACCTGTTGCCAAAGCCAGTTCCATTGGCAGCACTACCAGATTCCATTGTCCACTTAGTACAACCTGTTCCTATCAGGAAAGGAGTGCTCCTCTGGGACACTATAGGTTATTCTCTCTTTCTTACCTAAACTAGAAATCAAGCCTTCACTGGATCTAATTTATTATTAAGGAGAACCTATCAAAAAAGATCTAAAAGGAAACCCACTTAAGAACAAAAAGAAGCCTATCATAGACAGGAACTCAGAAAATAAACTAGAAAAGTAGGGAATAAAATTGGTTGGTGGGAAGAAATGGACCAACACTCAAGAGGGTCTAGCCATTTACCCTTAGCTACCCTTACAATACACCAACATAACTAATTTTCCACTGTAAGGCAAGTAAAGGGTGGCTGTTTCTATTTCAGAATAAGGAGTTGTACTTAGTTTAAAATATGCAATGGCTATCGATCCCTAACCAATCTTCTGAAGCAAAAGAAATACCCTAGAAGAAATGCAAATTAAAATGTTTTACAGCAAGTCAACTGAAAGGACTGGGGAGGTACTAAGGTAGGGTGAACAAAAGAAAGGCCACAATTCTATAACAGAATTCAAAATATATACACACAGAGATTTTGAAAAATCAAAGGGAAAACTGCCAAGCTGGTAGAGACAAGGAGGTGTACCAATGAATGTGCAGATGTTTCTAAAGTAAATTGGTGATGTATTCTTGTATCAGAAATTGTTATCCTTATCAAAGTATACTTTATCAAAGTAAATGCAGAAACAAGCATTGCTATAGTCCTTGAACCGAATTTGATCTAGAAAACAAGAACACAGAGAAGAAATAAAAGTAAAAGACTAATGGAAAGGAACCTAAAGGCAGTAAAAATTAGAAAATGTAAGAAATTTTGAATACATATTAGTTCATTGTAATACATTATGAAGTTATGGCCACCACTTTTGAATAAAACGTTATGTGCCGTGGAGTTGGTTCCGACTCATAGAGACTCTGCACAGGGTTTCCGAGGCTGTAAATCTTTACGGGAGCAGAAAGCCTCAATTTTCTCCCGCGGAACAGCTGGTAGTTTCGAACTACTGACCTTAAGGTTCGCAGCGCAATTCATAACCATTACGCTACCAGAGCGCCTTTTTGAATAAAATAGATCTATTTAAATGAGTTTAAAAGATTATTGGTTTTAGTTCTGAATTACGGTCAAATCAGAGCCAATACTATTATTAAACTAAATAACAATAACAAATAGAATAAGAAATACTGTTATCAGTTGGATTTGATTAATCTATCCATGGGCTTCAGCTAGCCATAGCATTTTTGAGAAGCAGGAAAAAAAAGTCTTCCCATGTTCAAATTGATATAACAAAGCCCATAAGAGACAAAGATATTTTTATAGTAGTCCTTTATTCATAATTATCTTAGATGCTTTTCTAATCATGAAAAACAAGATGGTGCAGTGGCTAAGCTCTCAGCTGCTAACTGAAAGGTCAGCTATTCAAATCCATGAGCCCCTCTGTGGGAAAATACGTGGCAGTCTCCTCTGTAAAGATTCACAGCCTTAGGAACCCTATGGAGCAGTTCTGCTCTGTCCTAGAGGGTTGCTATGAGTCACAATTGACTCTAGCAGCAACAGGTTTGGCTTTTTTTTTTTTAAATCATCATCATGATCTGGTTTTCCAGTCTAACAGAGTAGAAAATTGAAAGAGAGGAATGTTATTGCTATAGTCAGATACACAACAGACATAAGAACTTAGGAATAAGGATTTGGAACCACTTAGCTTAAGAGCAAAAAGGTACACATCAACCCAGAAAAAGTCTAAGGAGAAAACTGCATTATGACATTGCATTATAATTGAGGTTCATACACTCATACAAAAAATTTGTAGAAAATTACACTTTACCTATTCTGATTACAGGAGCAAGGGCAAACAAATATAAAAAAATATATTTGTTTTAAAAAAAAGTTTATGACTTATTGTTTGTTGTTAAGTACAGTCTCAGTTCCATATCATAGCAAACCTGTCTAGGGTTTCCAAGGAGTGGCTGGTGGGTTTGAACCTCCATCTTGTGGTTAGCAGTCCAGTGCTTATCTTACAGCAGGACTCCAAGGTTTGTTGTTGTTAAGTGCTGTCGAGTCAATTCCGACCCATAGTGACTCTATACAAGGTTTCCGAGGAGCAGCTGGTGAGCTTGAACTGCCAACCTTGCAGTTCAAATGGCTTTGCAGTCTGGCGCATTAACCCAAGGTTTATTTAGGTAGCTTTAATTGCCTAGGAAATTAATCTGCGTTCTCCAATCAAAAAGGATAAACAAAACATTATACTTTTTTTTTTTTTTTAATTGAAAGCAAATGGCACTGATCATAATAAGTCTAGGGCAAGAGAAAATGACAAACTCATTATAATGATGTTAGGAAATCTGTAAGAATAAGAATAGAGTGCTAAACAAGTAAGATCCTAAACCTACTGACTTTGAGTAGATTCCAACTCATAGGGCATCATGTTGTTGTTGATAAATGCCTTCAAGTCAGTTCTGACTCACAGAGACCCTGTATAGAGTTTCCAAGGAGCAGCTGGTGAATTTGAACCGCTGCCCTTTTGGTTCAAACTGACTTGCAGTGCATTATCCCACATCACCCCACCAGGAATCCAGGGTTTATAACAGTCTGACAGGGATTCAAAGGCTATGAATATTTACAGAAGCAAGCCATCACATTTTTTTCTCCTGACAAGTACCTCAGAGGTTTGAACTGCCCACCTTTTGGTTAGCAGTTGAGCACTTTACCCACTGTACCACCCTCATTCACTCACTGCCACTGATTCTGACTCATAGTGGTCCTATATAGGGCTTCCAAGGCTATAAATATTTTGGGGAGAAGAAAGCCTCATCTTTCTCTACGGAGCAATTGGTGGGTTTAAACTGCCAAACTTGTGGTTAGCAGCCCAATGCTTTTCCTGCATTGCCATCAGGGCTCCTTGGTAGTGGTGGCAGCTGTGTGCCATTGACTCAGTTCCAACTCATAGCACCCTTCTATAGGGTTGCCAAGGCTGTGAATCTTGACAAAAGCAAAAAGCCTCATCTTTCTCCCATGGAGTGATTATTAGATTTGAACTGCTGACCTTATGATTAGCAGCCCAACTCATATACCACAATGCAAACAGGGCTTCTTCTTGTTAAGTGCCATGGAATCGGTTCCAATTCATAGCCACCCTATATAGGGTTTCCAAGGAGCAACTGGTGGGTTTAAACAGCCAACCTTGCAGTTAGCAGCCCAGTGCTTATCCTACAGCATCACACCAGGACTCCTTAGTCATCAATAATAAGACTGTCTGAATTTTTAAAAGCCTGTAATAGTATTTCAA